TTTTCTATCATTTCCAACAGTTAGGATACTGCAAAGCATGTGCTTTTGTAACTTAAAATTATTAAATGCTTTTAAATAGATATACATTTTAATGTCCTGTCATGTTTGACAGTCTATGGAACCTGTTATGGTCAAGATTTAATGTTGATGCATTCTCTTGACTGGGGTGTGTTCCATTACTTGGGTATGGAATTGCCTAGTTAAAACAAGTCACCACTAGATGGGGATATAACCTTGACCATACTGAAAAGAAAGCCTTTCTATAGTCTTCAGACCTCATTAATGATATTCACTGCCACCTTTTAAGCTCCGTATTACTCTCCCTACCTTAATATGAAGTGTTACCAAGGAGTTGTATAACTTTTGTAAGATCATATAGCTAGTATGAGCAGTATTTCCATTTGAACTCAGATTGCGTTATTCATGTCCAATGTATTTCCCCCAATACCAACTATGATAAATACATTTGAAGTATTTAGTGCAATATGTGACACATGGTGACAATAAATCATGCTGGCTATTATTATCATTATCAGTTCCTCCTATAAGGTTTGAGAATCTCCTACATGAATTTTGAAAGCATTCTATAATGAACATACTTTTATGGTTCCATCCGCCTTTGGACAACTGCCCTAAGATTTAAGATTTTCAGCCCCTCCCAAACATTCCTTTGCTTTCCACCATGGAGTAAGTAATGGGTAAGGTTCTTGCTTCCTGGTCGTTGGACTAACTCTCTTTGCACTGCTTTTGTTGCTTGGTGGCTTTGTTTCCCTGGCTCCTGTGGGTCTGCACTCCTGCTGCTGCTTCTGCTGCTGCTGAAAGGCGAAGTAAGCATTTCCCCCAGACCAGGCTTCCCCTAAGGTAGTTTGCTCATTTCCCTGGGGTTCATTCAGCCTCTGATTTCTTCTGATACAGCCATTAGAAAGGAGTGGAAAGATTGAGTCAATGCCCAGGATTTAAGGTCCCAGAATTTGGGGTTTTGACTCTCCCTAGAATTTGGGGTTTCTCAGTTGGAATCTTCCTGGGATTCCTCCTGCATCTCTATCCACCATTTCCTAGATGAGAACTTCACAGCCAGTCAATTACTCACATGCTGAGATGTGTGTTCCCGCAGAGTCTCAGAGATGCGGCACCAAACCTGTTTCTGTACACCGCACAGCTCACACTTTAAAATGGCTCTGAAACATTCCCCTGCCTTTCAGCTTCTCCAGGTCTCTGATCCAGTATCACCCCATCATGTCTAGTTGTTTTTCAGAAACACAACATGCGGAGAATTTTCAAATGCTCTTCTCCCGTTTACATGTTAACATTATAGGTTTATACAGTTTGTAATGCTTTGCTCTGATAACAGTGGGCTCGTAGGGAGAAAAGAGATGAATTCCAAGGTCAAGTTGCAATATTAACTTGGCATTGAGACTTAAAACTGTTGAAGCTTTATTAAACATAATTAATGTGCAATAAACAGCACATGTTCAACATGTATGATCGAGTAAGTTTTGATATGTCTATATCTGTTAAGCCATCATCACATTCAAAATACTCTCCGAAGGCAATCACTGGCCTACGTTGTCTGGATTCATTTGGGGATGATTAGGAGAGGATGAAGTCTTTGTGAGGGAGACTAGTGTGGTAATATAGAGAAGAATAGAGCAAATAACATCTATTGACTAGCCACCCAGTGCAACCTTTCCATAGACATCTTGCTTACCAAATCATATTTAAACTTTATAAGGACCTTGTTAAGTTGGTGATGTTACCCGGTTGGATCTATGAAGAACCCGAGGCCTGGAGAAGCCCAGAAGTTCGAAGTCACCCAGATCCAGCTGAGCCTCAGGCCGGTGATCTAGGCTCCCAGTATCGGACATAGTAAAACGACTACTGACTATTTACCATCGATGTGGGGGAGGTACACCTTCTCTCTTAGCTGCTCTTTATTTCGTGAATAAGAAATGGTCCCAGGATGCTGATGGCTCAGTAGCTAAGTACTTATTGAAAACTGGAAGGTCAGCAGATGGATCCTACCAGCCACTCCATGGGAGGAAGCCGTGGTGGCTGGATCAATAAGAT